TATCTAACTTATCGCTCCACCACCCAAAATGAAGATGTAGCCGTTCGTGCTCATTCTTAAGTCTATGTTCTCAGCGTAGTCTGCATCACAAAAGTCTTCTAGCTACAAATCCGCCCCGCCATACTCAAGATAACTGTTAGATGACCATCTCAAGTAGCGTAGAAGCCACTTGACCGAACCCCAGTGGTGCTTCCCCGGATTGCTCATGAAGCGGCTCACAACTCCCACTCGTTGTGTAATATCTGGCATCGTGCACACCATCGCATACATCAAACTCCCGACGACAGATGCGTATGGTATGTTGGCCATGAACTCATACTCTTCAGCGGTCTCTGGTGCTTGGGTCTTTGATAGCTTGAAATGGCTCGCAAACGGAGAGCCCACTGGTTTAGCTTTCTCCATAAGTATCTTCTTAATGTAGGTCTTCTGAGACAACCTCAGCCTCCGTGCTGATCTGTCTCTGATGATCCTCATCCCAAAAATCTAGCTTGTTGGACCCAGATCCTTCATCTCGAAGCACTCGGAGAGACGCCTCTTGAGTTCCTCAATGTGGGCCAAGTCGGGCCCAGCAATCAACATGTCATCAACATAAATCAAGAATATCACATAGGATTCTCCCTACCTCTTGATGAAGCAGTAGTGGTCTGTCTCACATTTGAGAAAACTGTTCTCCTCCATAAAGTTCTCGAACTTCATGTACCACTATCATGAAGCTTGCTTCAAGCCATACAAGCTCTTGCACAAGCGACACACGAGGCCCTCCCTGCCTCGTTCCTCGAAGCCCACTGGTATATGCATGTAGATCTCTTCCTCCAAATCTTCATGAAAGAATGTCATCTTTACATCCATCTGCTCTAGATGGAGATCTCGTACTACCACAATGCTCAGCATAGTCCAGATCATGGTCAACTTGACAACGAGAGAACAAACGTCAGAATAGTCTATCCCTGCTTTCTGCTCATAGACTTTCACTACAAGCCTCACCTTGTAGCGTCTCCGTCCATCGGCTTCATCCTTGACCCGATAAATCCACTGATTGTGAAGAGTCTTTTGCCCTCTTGGAAGTTTTACGAGCTCCCAAGTCCCATTTTCGTTAATGATTTTATTTCTTCCTCCAAGGCAGACTCCCACTCGGCCCGAGCTTTGCCGGTCTGTTGTACCTCCTCATAGCTCTCTGGCTCACCATTGTCAATTAGGAGAAGATAATTCATAGTGGAAAGGTACCTCTCTGGCACCATCGGATTTCTTAGAGCTTTGTGAACTGTGATCGGCAGCTCTGCTGGATTCTGATGTTATGCATCTGGTACGTTCTCTTGGTCTTTATCTTCTATATTGACTGGTATCTCACCGTAATCCTCACTGTCAGAAATATATGGGAAAAAAGGGGGAGATACCTGACTCCCACTAACCTCTTTGGTCTTGTACACTGCATCCTCATGGAACACGACATCACGACTACGCACCACCTTGCGCGCATTGTGATCCCAGAAATGGTACCTATACTCATCTCCTATATAGCCGATGAAAGAGATCTTCTTTGACTTTGGATCAAGCTTTGATCGGTCTGCAGGATTACTCATGACATAGGCATCACAACCAAATACTCGTAAGTGCTCTAGCTTCAGTTTCTTTCCGGTCCAAGCCTCTTCAGGTATCTCATAACTGATAGCCGCGTATGGCCCGAGGTTGATCAAGTATGCAACAGTATTCACATCATCTGTGCAAAAACTCTTGGGCAATCCGGAGTGGATCCTTATAGTTATGGCACGCTCCAAAATAGTGCGATTCATACTCTCCGCCACTCTATTGTGCTGAGGTGTGCCTGGAACGGTCTTCAGTCTCCTAATTCCACGGGACGAGCAGAAGTTCTTGAACTCCTGGCTGCAATACTCGCCTTCATTATCAGACTTTAGACACTTCAGCTTATTACCTATTTCATTCTCCACATAGGCAAGCTACTTTTTGAAGATGATGAAAACATCTGACTTGTGCTTCAAGAAGAACGCCCACAGTTTTCTAGTAGCATCATCAATAAAAGAGACAAAGTAAAGTGAGTTGCCAACATATAGGACTTGCGCATGTCCCAACACGTCGGTGTGCACCAACTCTAATTTCTACAGTTTTATAGCCGGTCCGATCTTGTTGAAGCTCACATTCTTCTGTTTGCCTAGGATGCAGTCCTCATAGAAAGTCAGATTAATCTTGCTCAGACCTGGAAGCCTCTCTCCCAAGATCATAATCTACATCCCCTGCTCACTCATGTGACCAAGTCACCGATATCAAGTCATGCAGTCGGCGGATAATGATGATGCTTGTCCTGCGGCAAGCAAGTGGTCAATCTTCCCATTGGCGATATAAAGACCACTCGTGTTTGTCGTGTGCTACTATCAGGGCACCCTTGGACACCTTCCAGCTTCCCTGCTCGAAGGATACTCTGTAACCGGAGTTAGTTAGTTGCCTGACTGATATAAGATTCTGCCTGAGATCTGGTACATGCCGAACGTCATTCAGCGTCAAGGTGGTCCTGCCCTCCATTTTTAGGGTAAAATTTCCCTTCCTAGAAATCTTGCAAGGTTGATCATCACTAAGATAGACTGTCCCCAAGTCCTTCTTCATGAACAATGAAAGCAGCTTTTGTTGTGAGGTTGTATGGGAAGATGCGTCAGAGTTGATGACCCACACATCGCTCTTATCTTCAAGAGATAGGAGAAGCGCATCTGAATCCGTCTCATGCATGAGATTAGCTACACCGTCAGCCTGATCATCCACTGCTGATGCTGGAATAGAAACTCTGTAGTCCCGTGCAAAGTGACCATTCTTTCCACATCTGAAGCACTTCCCTTCACCGTAACCATTCGGGTCCGGCCCTTTATGTTAGGACTCATGATTATGAGCCTACTATCAAATCTTATTTTGATGATTTAACAAACAATTTATAACCGTGTATTTCTAGTGTTTCTGTGTTTGTCATATATCCAGGTTGATGATATCTGAAATGAAGCCAATACAAATCAAATCAAAGATTCAAGATCAAGCTTCATATGCATTCGCTTGGGTATATTAATTTAGGATTTATATATTGTGTGTTGATACTTTAAGCTCAATATCACACACACACTTCTTGATTTTGATTAATTTTGACAAAATATTGAGTTGTTAGTTCATAGACTTAAATTTATCTTTATACATATTTTATTAAGTCTATAAAACCATTTGAAAAGATTTCAAAACATTGTTTAACTCAAAAGTAAAAAATCAAGATATTTATATACACATGTATTTACAAGTTTTGCAAAACTAAGAGATTTCACAAACAGGGAATGATATCTGGAAAATTTCTTTTCTAACATGTTCAAAATCATGTTTATAAATATTTCCCAAAGTTTTATATTTTTTGGATTATATCTGCTATTTTTAAAGGCTCTCAAAAACTCAAATTTCATACATGTACAGTTCTTGTGTACGTTTACAAGTCGACTTATGCCTGAGATAAGTCGACTTATGAACTGTGCTGGAGTATGCAGAAAAGGTCTGCTGAGTCGACTTATAAATCCAGCAAGTCGACCTATATATGATAAGTCGACTTATGATCTCTAGCAAGTCGACTTATGATATGTTGTGTTGTTTTTCATTTTCGTCTGCTGAGTCGACTTATAACTCACACAAGTCGACTCATGAAGACATAAGTCAACTTATATCTGTCATAAGTCGACTTATAATATGACCATTGCACAGTAATGATTATTTTCTAGATTTTATTGTTTTTAATATTTTTAGTGGTTTTTGCTGGTTTCTTGAGCTTAGTTCTTCTACCCTATATATACCCATTTGCATTAAACATTCCCTACCAATTAAGAAAAATTAATAATAATTTTAATAAGGGTTTAAGTTTGTTTAAGAGTTTTTAAGTGGTTTCAAGTTTGTTTTGTGAAGACACTTTCACAAGAGGAGAAGATTGATTCTTTCGTGTTTGAGCTTCGACTCCATCTCTCTCTCTCTCTCTCTCTCTCTCTCTCTCTCTCTCTCCCTTGTTTTTTAGAGAAGTTTTCTCTAAACTCAATTCTAGCTTTACATATTTATTTGTTGATTATCAATCTTATTTAAGCTAGATTTTATATTGAGTGTAGTTTACATCATTGTTCATATTATTTTCACACACATCCATATTTGAGCTCGAGTAGTTTACATATAATACATTTGGGTTGCGAGTGTAATTGAGTGAGCTTAATTTCGTTCTCAAATTGTATTGGAGAACAAATTATTTTATTTGTACTTAATTGTTGAGAGTTCATTTTGTAATACACATGGACACCGAGAGAAGTGTGGTTAGAGACGAGGTCGATTCTAAGAAGAGTGGCATCGATAGTAAAGCCTAGAGAGAGGTTGTAAATCCGAGCACTTAAGGAAGGCGACACGGGCTAGGCCAATATTTAGAGGGTGTGTTGTGTGATTGCATTGTGAGTGTTGTAAATGTTTGTCGCTGAGCGTTAAAAACCGATTGTGTAGTATCTTTTGAGAAAGTGGAGTTCTCCTCGTGAGTGGGGAGCGGAGACGTAAGTCGAGAGTGATCGAACTCTGTGATCATATTGTGTGTTTGTGTTGACTATTTGCGCACTATCTCATTTGCATATTTATTCTTGTTTATATCACCCTTTAATTATATTGCATATCCTAGCTCATATAATTTGTTGTATTTTATACTTTCTAGGATATAAGTTAATTAGTTTTAAATTGGCATTAATATCGAATTAGATTAGCATATACCCTATTCACCCCGCCCCTCTAGGGTAATTTCACTTTAGACTTCCCTCTGGACTTTGATCGGCCTCGTCGTCCCCTACCCTTCTTCTGCGCATGCCCTCGTGCCTCGACATGCAGAGCACTCCCACTGCTAGAGGCCTCAACTCTTGAGACTTTACGGCGAGATTCTTCATCCAGAATTGCCCCAATCACCGTATCGAGCTTCATCTTGCCATTGCCATTGGTGTTACTCACCGCCATCACCAAATTCTTCCACGAATTTGGTAGTCAAGAAAGTAGCAGAAGAGCTTGGATCTCATTGTCGAACTTAAGATCCACTGCAGCAAGCTGTTGCACCACAGATCATTCAAGAAGTCTGCCACGCGAGCTCCTTGTTGCATCTTTAGATTGAATAGATTCTTCATCAGGTACACCTTATTTGAAGCAGACGGCTTCTCATACAGTACCTCCAAGGCCTCCATCAACTCCTTGGTGGTGGTCGCATGTGAGACGTTATAAGTCATATGCTGGTGAAGGTTGAGCCTGATGATGGCAAGTGCTTTACGATCGAGTACCTTCCACTTATCGTCGTCTATCTTCTTAGGTTTCCCCTCCACTCCTTGGAGGCGTAGGAAGAGATCCTTCTGGTACAAATAGTCTTCTATCTTCATCATCCAATACCTAAAATTTTGGCTGCCGAACTTCTCAATCTGAAGGCTATTGTCTTCAACTGTAGATCTCATAGCAAAAGATTTCATCTTTTCCTGAACCGTATTTGTGAATAGTATTAGTACTTATGAATAGTACCGTACTTGTGAATAGTGTCTAGTGCCTTTAAAGAGTAAATGGTAATCTAACTTATTTTCTGATGTGGAGGATTCACTTTTAGTGACAGCCACAGAACATATGATAAACGGATATACGTACTCTAAGTTAGGCTCTGATACCAGTTGTTAGGATACATGCCAACAAGAACGCCTCGAATAGAGACACAATACACACCCAAACAAACGTGGAATCGCAGAATAAAATCAGCAGACACAAATTCAATCACAGTACTCACAGATATAACGTGGTTCACTCTTACGGAGCTACTCCACGGTGCAACGACGAAGCTTAATTCCTTTATATTCCTTTCCGAGGTTACAAAGAAAAGATCAAAGAGAAAACCTCCCTTGATCAAGATACTCTCCAAGAATTCTCACAAACTCTCTCTATGTTTTCTCTCTCATTCTTCTATATGAGAAGTTGTTTCTGGGATGGTTTTTTCTGAAGAGTTTTGTGCTTATTTATAGTGGCTGAAAAAATACTATGCACTAATTTTATATTATATTTTCTTATGGTGGGGCCCGCCACTTTATTTTCTTCAAACTCCGTCTAAAATTTTGCTCTTGTACGGTGCCTAAATTTAGGCAAACTTCTCTTTCGATTTGTGGGGCCCACCCCTTTTTAATTTGTCAACATTTTCGGCTAACAGCTTGCTCACGCTGCAAAGATTTGTGCTCGACTTTACTTTTAATTGGAAGAAAATATCTACAGTTTAAAGTCCAAATATTGGAAGCTATTGGTATATGACTTAGTAGCCAGCACACCCTGCGACACTTCATCAGTATGAAGCAAGAAAGGAGAAGCGAAGGAAAATAGATAAACCCTCTTTAAGTAAGAACAGAGGTTAAAAAACTTCAGTTACCTATTCTCCTCTGAGTAGGTAGACGAACATGGAATAATATGACTCAATCACAAGTCCCTTCAAGTTCAGTTTAAGCACATTGAAATTCGACAAGGAAATCACCATCTTCTTGATTTGCAAGAATATCAATAAATGTAACTGATAACATATCACGAGAAAGTCTTGATAACTTCACAGGATTTTGACAGCAAAGGTTGGTAGTCGATAGTTTGCTAAATCATTTGTCAGAGGCAAAGCTGAACTAAACCCTTTATGAAGAGACACCATATTTCCTTTATAATGTGTTAGTAAGTTTTATTTCCATAAGATTATTTCGTGAAACAAGGTCTTATGAAGTTATTGATTTAGTTTCAGCCGCGGAAAACTCAGAGATGCAAATCAAGCCACAGTGACGGATGTCTCTAGGTTCCGCCAAAGGCCGAAACCCAATTAAGAAATGAACGCAAGGTCAGCTCCAGGGACTAAATACATGTTCCTGGTTCTAGAACGCCTCTCTGATTGATACCTATATGCGCTCATATGCATGATGATATGCAAATTAACTCGATAAATACTTAATCAATACTGGCAAGTTTTAGGGCACACTCCACGAATCTTTGAATAAAATTATAGAATGCAGATACATAAGGAGAAAATGAATAAATGAAGATTGTAATGCATGCACTCTCTGCTGAATATACTGCATTATCAGAAAATTTTAAAAAAAAATGAAGATGTACAAAGCGAAAAACAGGCTGACCAATGCTTTTAACTATGTAATAACTGAGACTTGCTCCATCCTTCCCACCCTCTTTGCTCATGCTAATGATTGAAAATCTTGGAAGGCTTGGCGCCGTTGAAGCTAATGGACTTCTTGAAAATTCTGGTTATACTTCTCTTAGAGGCCATCATCGAGGGTGATTCTACATTCGATGAAGGACAATTCGCTTGATCATTAATCTTGCTGCTAACGAATCCGACGCTCTGAGAGAATATCGGCTCTCTAAAATCATTTCCATCGGTTCCACTTTCATCTCTGTTTATCTGCTCCGCGCCGCCAAATAAAAGCCTGTCATCCCACACAAGGCCTGATGAGCCTGCGCTCCTGAATGTTTGTGATCTCCTAAGCCCAGGCATCCCAGCTTGCTTCTCTTAGGCACTGAATGTAATGGACAGGACTATATATAGTGTTATTAAGCAATATTTATTGCCTACTTGACTTGTTCTTCTACTGTTAATTACTATAAAGGGCAACATCATGTGTCACTGCCAGCAATTTTAAATCTTTCATCCTAATGGATACCCTCCTTTCAAGACCTTGAGAAATTGACGTATGAAGGGTTTTGTTGCATTTTAAAAGGAATCCTTTGGTTTATAACTTGCTGCAATCTGAGTGGATGCTTATAAGATCATTGTCGGTTAGTTTTTTCTACAAGGTTTGAAGAGAGACAGAAAGAGGGAGGAAGCATGGATGTGGATGAACAGCTTTGAACTCTTCTTGATTGGTTTCTTAAATTCTCTATTACAGAGAGAATACCAGAAAAAGGGAGTTCTGTCTTTTGGGCTGGTTCATCAAAATGATTCTAGTATGGTTGCATTTAATATGGTCCGAGTAAAAATTATCTTACTATGAATATGATCATAGCCTAAGATGTGATTCCATTTGGCTACTGAACCTACTTGACTTCTTCTTTTTGTTTTAAAGATGAACCTTCCCTCTATTATCTTATCATCTTAGTTTCTGGTCTAACTTTTTTTTATGGAGGGCTTTGTCGAGGCCTGCTCCTTGGTTGCATAAGCTTAAACTGTAGCCCAAAAAAGGTCCATGAGATGCTGATTTTCAGAAGGTTTTACAGAAGGATTCTCGTTTATGTTTCTTTAGGGGCTGTTTGGTTTGTGGATTAATTTAGTTTTATGTAGTGGATTTTAAAACAATCTATAACTAAAATCATGTTTGTTTTGTTGGGATTGTGTCTTTGATTATTTATATAACTTCATGAGAATTAGATAGGTTAGAGATCTATCATGATTAGGAGATTGAGTCTCATCATGATTAGGAGTTTGAATAATATTCTAATTAGAAAGTTAGGCTAGAGATAGAGTTTTGATTTTCCTATATATATTCTTCTATTGTTGGAGGAAAAACTAAGGAGAAGGGAGTGAGCCAATATTCTTGTAATCTAGGGTTAGCAGAGGGCGTAGCCTAATTCAAGAATATTATGCGAGATGCGAGGGTTTCGTAGTCTTTGTCCGTGCAAAATATTACATCATTGGGAGAGGGTTTCGCAGTCTTTCTCCGTTCAAAAGATTGTAAGGAGAGGGCTTCGAAGATAATATGAGAGTTGATTATGTATGTGAGGTTGAGAGATTGAGAGACGAGAGTTGAGTGGTTTCTCTTGTAGTTCTCCGTGATACGTAGTGAATTTCTCGTATTGTTGCCATTGGACGTAGGCCGAAGTTGGTCGACTGAACCACATAAATCTCAATGTTCTTTCTTCTTGATTGTAGTTGTTTTATATCTTGTTGATTGTGGGTTAGCTTCCGAGTTGTGCAAATCGTAGTAGGCGGGGAGACTAAAATTCACCAACAAGTGGTATTAGAGCCATGATGATGGATCCGGGAGTGAGTTCTCAAGATAGACGTCGTACAAAAGTGAAGATCGACGGTGTTACAAGAATCAAGATGAAGAAAAAAAAGGGAAGGTCGAGTGGCGGCAAGAGCTGGCGATTGCAAGAGCGATAACATAGGTGGTTTTTGGTTTGTTCGTTCGCGTGCTAGAGTCAAAAAGTAGCAGCACGTGAGGAGATTCACACGTGTGGGAAGAAAATGAAATTTAGCCAATGGGGTCCACATGAAAGAATTATGAGAAGTAGTTCACGTGATCTGATTATCTAATTGTGGCCTGCTGATATGATGTGGAGTTTTATTTTGGTGTTTGGTGTTGTGGAAGCACATCGGATGGTCCAGATAGTTTTATCGATAGATTGGTGAATCAGAGGTTGATTTCAATTATCTAGGAGTTGATTCCTAAGTTTTAGAGTGTTCTGAACGTGATGGGAGGGTTTTCCTTTTTTTGATTTGTTCAGATGTGTCAGAAAGTACCGATAAGTTTTGTTGGTAGTACCGAGACAAATCTAATGACAGATAGGGCAAATGAGTATGCGACAGATAAGACTGACGTAAAGAATCAAACGTGATTCTAGCAGTAGAGTCGTCAGCATATAATTATTTAGAGTTATTACAGTAGCAGGAGTTGATTTGTGTGTAGACTCGAGGTAGACAATGCCAAATTAGGTGGAGCTTGCAAGTAGGAATGACTAAGTGACACACATGCTGATGGAGATAGTGACATTGGACTTGAAGACGATGAGCACTCATATTCGGTCCAAGTCAAGTAATAGAGGAGATGGAGACATTTGGCTCATAGTGTGTAGTAGGAGAGGTGCACCGATATGGTTCGAGACAAGTGATGCAGGTGGAGTATAAGGACAGCAAGTGAGAGAAGGCTATTGTCAGGCTTAAGTTGGGAGAAGAAGTATGGTTGATTTGCTTCTAATGTCAAAGGTGGCAAAGATCTCTTAGTGTATACAAGAGAGGTGGAGGCACCACGGCAAAGTAGATGATAGCGAGGCTCACAGGACATCTAGTTGGAGTGCAGGTGCTTCGATTTGAAGTGCGAAAGAAATAGAAGACTCTAGCAGGAGAGACAAAGTTTCAAGACGACGATGATATATCTTTAAGGGAGTTTGGGAATCAACTCTAAGGTGGAGAATGTTGGGATTGTGCCTTTGATTCTTTGTATAACTTCATGAGAATTAGATAGGGTTAGAGATCTATCATGATTAGGAGATTGAGTCTTCTCATTATTAGAAGTTTGAATCCTATTCTAATTAGGAAGTTAGGCTAGAGATAGAGTTTTGATTTTCCTATATATATTCTTCTATTGTTGGAGGAAAAACTAAGGAGAAGGGAGTGAGCCAATATTCTTGTAATTTAGGGTTAGCAAAGGGCGTAGCCTGATTCAAGAATATTATGCGAGAGGCGAGGGTTTCTTAGTCTTGTAGGCTGTCTAAAAATCACAATAGATAG